CTTGGGCCCCAAGTTGGGAGCCCCCTTCCTCCTCTGTTTGCATCAGGTCTTGGGGAGGCCAGGGCCAGACAGATGGCAGAGGTAAGGGGATCACGTCCAAGCTTAGTCAAGGGGGACAATTAAACAGTGCCCTTCACTAAACACCCGTATGCTGGCAAAACGGGGCCGTATCTGTTGGCCAGAGTGGGCTGAGCACCAGGTTTGTAACCCAGGAGGGTGATGAAGACGTGCAGAAAACTCCTGAAAAAGCAGTGTGAGCTTGTGGGTGGGTGAGCAGGGCCCTTGAGTGCACTGGGGTGGGGTGAGGGACGTTCTGGCTGCCCCACTCCCAGAGCCATGCCCCAGAGCCAGGGGCTGTCCTCCCAGCCTTGGGAGGGACCCTGGGAGGGACTCCAGGTCGGCTCCTGCTCTGCCTCAGCCATGCAGACACCTGCCTTGTGCCCAGCCCGTTTGCCTTTTCTGCTGGTCTTGTGTCTTTCCTGCTCTGGAAGTGCAAGACAGGTGGAAGAAGAGAGGAGGGTTCTGGGGAAGGACAGCATCCCCTGGGCAGGCAGCGGAGCCCCTCTGGGAACAATGGCCACTGCATGAGGTGGGGTGCAGAGGGGCACGAGACCCCAGATGACTAGGGTTGGCGGTGCCGTGCGGCCTTACAAGCCGGACCTTCCATTCCACAGAGCAAGCCCCTAGCAGATGAAGGAATGTGGAAGGCGAGGACAGTGAGCCCACTCCTGGGAGCTCCTTTACAGAGGGAGGCACTGGGGGTCCGGAGCCAAGTGCAGCCAAGAGGAACCTGAGGAGCTGAGCTCCACTCCAGTCCCACAGCCACACCGTCTTCCTGCCACACGCTGACCTGGAGGCTGCCCCCACCCATAAGCCTCTGTGCCTGGTGGGGACTTGGGCCTGCCAGCGTGCCTTGCCTCCCGCATGCCCACAGCCCTGGGCTTTGTCTTCTCCCTCAGTGCCAGGTTTTGGAGCTCGGGGGCCCTAACCCCAAAATAGGGAATTGTGGTCACTCCATTCTAGCCCTCCCTCTCGCTGTGTCTGTAGGTCTGCTCTCCGCAAAGCAGGGCTCTGAGCTGGCAACACTGGGATGGGGCAGAGGGTGTGAATGAGACCGCAGCCTCCTCTCAGGTCCGGTAACAGAGGTGCTGCTTCCCGGAAACAACCAGGGCCTGCCTGTTCCTGCTGCCGGCTCTGCAGCCCCTGCCCAGGTCCCCGTGGGGGTTTAGGGAGCATGGGGCCAGTCTCTCCTCCAGGCTGGCTCAGGGACTGCCCAGCCCATACACTGGCCCCTGGGGGAGGGGCTGCAGCTAGCCGGGTCTGTCCACCCTCGGAGGCTGCTCCAGCAGCCTGCTGCTGTCTGTCCTCGCGCCCCTGGGGCTCTGAGAGGCAGAGTGTTTTTATAACTTGGGCTGGTTTAAGGCTGCCTGTCAGTGTGTCATGGAAAGAGCTTTCATTTGACCCTTAGGAAGTCCGGAAGCCAGCCAGGTACTGCGATCATTTTTCTCTCTTCCTAAGCGCAAGAAGGAAGAAGATAAATTTTATCTTGGGAAGAACCACAGCCGTTTGCGAGAAAATTTAATTTAAGCGGCCCATTCCCCAGTGTGATGGGATGTCCTTGTGTTGTGCAGCAGGGAGACCAGTTGTCCGCCTGGTGCTTGTTCCCAGACTGCAGAGCCCCCGCCACCTCTCTGTGCGTCCCTGTGGCTAAGTCATGGGAAGGCAGGGCTTTCAGTGGCATTTGTTACAGGGCCAGCACACAGGGGCTCTGGCCCAGCATCTGGCCCTGAGGGGTTGGGTGGGGCTGGTGAGGTCCTAGGCAAGCCGAGGATGGAGGCCTTTGGGGCGCCCCCAGCCCTATGCTGCCACCCTGGGGCGTCCACAGCTTGGCGGCCCATCTGGCATTTCCTGGGCTGGCAGGACCGCCAAAAAACCAGGTGCCTCCCGTGAGACTCTCACTTTGTGTGAGGGTTCCCTCTGGAGAGCGGATCAGGGGCCTTCAAGCTCAAGAGGCAGATGGATTGTTCTTTAAGCCTGGGCTTCATGGCCTGAATTAATGCTTTTGTTTCTGCTTCCTCCCCCCATTCCAGTTTTGAACAAGAAAGCCTGCCCTGTGATTAGGCTAATCCTGCAGTAGTTATTATGCCTCCTTAGAAAATGTTTGCACACCAAAAAGCACAGAGAATGGAGCTGCCGGGATCACACTGAAACTTGATGTTTTGTTTGTTTTGTTTTGTTTGTTTTAGAGACAGGGTCTCACTCTGTCTGCCAGGCTGGAGTGCAGCTCACTGCAGCCTCAAACTCCTAGGCCCAGGCGATCCTCCTTCCTCAGCCTCCTGAGTAGCTGGGACTGCAGGTGCATACCACCATGCCCCCGGAATTTTTTTTTATTTTGTAGAGATGGGGACAAGCTATATTGCCCAGGCTGGTCTTGAACTCCTGGGCTCAAGCAGTCTGTCCACCCTGGCCTCCCAGAGTGCTGGGATTGTACACATGACCCACCACACCCAACCTTTGGGTCTTTTAATGTAGTGATAAGTTGAGTGATTCCAGCCCCCTACGCCCAGGTCCCGTGAGCTGTCTGTCAAGTCCCTTGACTTCTGTGGCCAGCACCTCTAACCTCCTGTGTCCAGCCGTGGCTTGAGTTGGTCGCTGCACCACTTTCCTGTCTGTCCCCACCCCTGTTGGGCTGCGGGTGGCCTGCAGAGGCTGTCTGCAGGTGGCTGTCATTGGGCTGTCTCTATCCTTGTGATGTGGAGGCTTCGGTGTCTGTCTCATTTCACTCGGGCATTTTCTTACGTTAGCTGGTCTGAGTGGAGTTCTCTGATTGAGTTCTCATATCCTGCATTCTTCAGAGCGTAAACATTCGCATAATTTGATCAGTGTGGGGAAGGGCACAGTGAAAACCAATGCTGTCAGTAGTCTTTGCTCATGACAACAAGAGGAGGCCCAAAGTGACCCTCCACACAGGCGATATGTGAGCTTTCGCTGAGATTTCAGCTGAACACATAGGGTCAAGGACGCCCACTCGGGATTGCGTCCACGGTGCTCACCTCCTCCCAGCCGTGCCCTCAGTTGCTGTTCAGAGCTGGCAGCTGAGGGATGGAGTCACCTGTGACTTTGAAGATGGCCCTCGAGGTGGGAGCTTCTGCTGTACCCTTGGCTGCCAGGACAGGAGGCCTGGGCGCTGGGGGGTTCCAAGAGAGGGCCTAGAGAGTCACCTTCCCCCTCATCCAGTCCTGGTGGGTCAGCATCGTGTAGGAGGTGGGGATGCACACATGGGCGGCAGAGACAGCAAACGTTTGTGGCGAAATCAGGAGGGCATGTTGCAGGATCCCTAGCAATGAGGTAGGAGGCCTGGAGAGCAGCCTGGCCCCCATCCTGCGGCTGGACATCCCATGTCGGGAGGAGAGTTGGCCTCAGGGCCAGGAAGGCCCTGACACGCAGGGAAGGGATGCATTGGCCTCACTCCCCTAGTGCCTGCACAGTGCAGCAGGAAGCATCTCGCCCACGCACGGCCACCTCTGGGAGCAGGGGGCGGGGGGCACCACAGGATGGGCTCTCACCCGTTTCACCCTTGCATTTACGGCACGATATTCAAAGCAGTGGACTTTTGTTTATATTGGCAGTAACTCATGACTCCATATCTTAAAAGCTTGTATGTTTTACCGCATTTAACAAGTCCAAAAGAGTTCGGTTTTGTCATTTCGGAAGTCACCTCCGTGTAGAGATGTGTATGTGTGTTTGCACGTTTTGAAAGTGCGCGCACACTGTGGTACCTGTTTCTCAGGTGTTGCGGGCCCTGAGTGAGGCTGCGAATTCATCTCTGCAGTCCTGTTCGGCTGGGCGTCCCAGAGTCTCCCCTCGCTGTCCTCACATGCTGAGTGCGGCGTGTAACCACCTTGCGCTCAGCCGGCTGCCAGAGCTCTGTCTGCTCACCCTAATCCTGACAGTGGCGCAGTTCTGTCCCCAGCTGCTGTGAGGAAGCTGCATGCCAGATCTTCCTGCAGGGCACCTGCAGAATGATTCCAAGGGATACGCTACGTTTTGAAATGGAATTATATCATTAGTACCTGCTGGGATTAGCACTGACATTGGGCTTATCCATCTTTACATCACCTCCTCTTGTTCAAAGACTGAAGGGTGATGTGGGAGCCCACCCACGGGCAGCTGCCCCGCTGGGAGTTCTCGTTCTACATTAGGTGCTGTGCCCGTTTGCATGTGTGTGCATGCATGTGTCTACGTGAGTGTGTGCATACATGTATATGAATGAATGTGTGTACCCATGTGAGAGTGTGCATGTGTGTACATTTGTGTGTGCCCATGTGGGAGTATGTGCAGACACGTGTGCATACAGGTGTGTGGCATGTGTGCACATACAAGTGTGTGTACGTGTGTGCATAACCCATGTGTTGAATAATGGGGGATTTTCACTGCAAGAGCAAATATTTCCAATGACTGCTGGATCTCGGCGTCCTGTGCTGCCTCCCCTATCCCTGGGTTCCTTCGGTCCCTGCTCTGGGGAGCTGGCCTCCTGGTCCTGCACCTGGCTGCGGTAGGGCTGGATGTGCCTCTGGCCAAGCCTTCCATGGCCTTGAGACTGTTCTGATCAGACGATGTCTTCCCTTGTGGTCTGGTGGCCTCCCCGTCCTGCCAAGCCACTCCGGGCTTCCACCTTGGCCCAGGAGGCCCTGCAGGAGAGAAAGAACGCCCTGCGCAGCTCTGGTGGATGTTTCTCCACGCCTCCAGGCACCTTCCAGGGGACAGGTACCACGTCATTGACACACATGCTCTTTACCGCCAGGTGATTTGCTCATTCACAACATGCTTGACAGTGTAGCCTTGGGAAGTGGGCTTTGCACCCTGGGGCGAGCTGTCTGAACGGCAGCCTCGGAGCTCACGAGCTGACAGAGGGCCTGGACGAAGGCTGCAGGGTTCTTCTCCACCGCACTTGGTCAATAAAGGCCTCACTTTACACGCTTTGTTCGTTTCTCTAACAGGTTGGTGGTCGGGGCCAGCTGTATCCTTTACCAGCATGCAGGTGGCCATCCTGGGAATGGGACACTCCTTCCCCTGAGTCCCTCCCTGCTGCCTGCCCTTCCGGCAGGCTCTTTGCTGCCTCAGATCAGACACTCACCGGGCCTCTCGGCGTGGAGGACCTGTGCTGGGGGACAGTTTGAAGCTGACCTCTGGCCAGGGATTCCTGGAGGCTCTTCCTGAGCCGGGCACTGAGACAGCTGGGATGGCTGGACATGGCCATGAGGCAGCTGGGCCATCTTCCCTCGAGAGCAGCCCCAGCCTGGACCCATTCCTTCAGAAGGGACAGTCAGGGAGGGTCAGGAGAGGAGCCACAGGAGGGCCTGGGGTCGAGGGGATGTCTGAGGGAGATGAAAGCCCCCGGCTGGGTGTTGTGACTCACACCTATAATCCCAGCACTTTGGGAGGCCATGGCAGGTGGATTACCTGAGGTCAGGAGTTTGAGACCAGCCTGGCCGACATGGTGAAACCCCTTCTTTACTAAAAATGAAAACATTAGCTGGGTATGGTGGTGCATGCCTGTAATCCCAGCTACTTGAGAGGCTGAGGCAAGAGAATCACCTGAACCTGGTAGGCGGAGGTTGCAGTGAGCTGAGATTGTACCACTGCACTCCAGCCTGGGCAGCAGAGCGAGACTCTCTCTCAAAAAAAAGAGAGCCCCAAGCTGCTGGCTGAGAGCACAGGGGGAAGAAGGCAGCCGCCTGGCATCTCCCACGGCCAAGGTCCTCCCTGAGCTGGCTGCTGCTCTCCATCCCAGCTGGGATCCCCCGCGATGCAGGCCTTGCCCTGGAGGCTGAGATGGACCCAGCTGGGTCGGACACCCCATGGGCGCAGCGAGTCTGTGGTGGCTCCTTGCTAACTCAGCCTGTGCCCTTGAGATGTGGAGGTGGGGTCTTGAGTTGTGAGCCCCTCCGGGGCCAGCCATGGATAGGTGGGGCGTGGGCTGCGGCACAGGGCCCCAGGGTGTTGTCCCATCGCTTCCAAAGTTAGGAGCTGTGGTGTTCCTTAGCCGGCGCTGCAGACGTGGCCCTGGAGTGTGCTGGCTTCCTCACCGGGATCGGGCTGGACACCACCGTCATGATGCGAAGCATCCCCCTCCGCGGCTTTGACCAGGTAGTGCCAGTGGCCCCCGCTCCCGCCCTGTGGCTCTGCGGCCCTTCCTCCCACAGGCCCCTCCCAGGCAGGTGCAGTGCAGCCATGGGCCACAAGTGACGCCTGAATCTTTAGCGATAGCGTTTGAGTTGGATGAGGAGGTTGTCCAGGAAATATGTAAACACTCGGCCGGAGCGAGGGCAGGGGTGGCGGTGGGACACACAGCTGCGCGGAGGCCTCCGGCTGACTGCGGGAACCGGGAAGGGAGGCTGAGCCCAGCCTTGTGCCGGCAGATTGGGTCACCCTCCAGATTGTCCCATTAGTGAGAGGTGGCTGTGTGCCGCAGAAGTGTTAGCCCATCTCAGAGACCCCCCGACTCCCTGCTCTCCCTTGGCTTCCCCTCTGGTGGCATGGGAGTGGAATAAGCTGTAATGTGTGAGCCGGGGTGAGGAGCACAGGGCAGCGCTGGCTGCGAGAGAGCCTGTGGGGCCGCGGCGTGGGGACAGGTGCTCTGTGTACAGCGGCCCCCGTCTGTGTCTGGGGTGCACTCGCTCGTGTGGCCAGCAGGACGAGCTCCTAGACTGGAGCAATAGAGATTTTCTTTTTTTTTGTGTGACGAAAAGCTCTTCAAGGAAAAGTCTCTTGTTAAAATCGAAGTCTGGAGTTGTCATTGTGGAGACATTAAACACTCCATGGCTGCCACGAAGGAGGCCCCTTGCAGGGTGAGCTGTGCAGATCTGTAGGCCCTGCTCAGGGTCCTCACCAACCCTCAGCCCCCAGAGCCTGAGGCGGTCACCTGAGGTGGGAGGAGCCAGGCCTGTCATCTCCAGACTCCCAGCGCCACCCCCAGGCTAACTCGGAGACGTGTCCCTCCACCTGTGTGGCTGTGTGATTCTTCATCCTCAGGCTGTGTGTCCCTCCACCTGTGTGGCTGTGTGATTCT